ATATTATATTAATTTAAAATGTTGAAACAAAATATGCAAAATATAAAAATTATAAATTATAAATAAATGAAAAAAATAGATGAAAATTATAAAGGATAATAAAAGTGATAGATGGACAAATAATTGAAAATTATAAATGATAAAAATAATTGACGAATAAATGTGGTAGATGATGTAATGTTATCTTAATATAAAAAACCAAAGGTTTAATATTTGTTTGGGGGTCTGCTGATGATGTAGATTGATGAGTCAACAGTGTTGATGATATGGAAGCTGACTAGGATGCCACCCATGAATGATGAGGAGGGTTCTTTTGGCGGCACTCATTTCCCATGCAAGAGACTACGTGTCACAGGCCGTCTCATTCCACCCAACGATGTTGGTCAGCAACAAATTCCGCAACAAAGTTTGAAGGTGTAAGTTTTCTAGCCAAGCCAAGAAGGAGAGCTGGCAGCGACGACAGAGTTCCAAGATATCTAGCAATGTTGGTTAACAGCAAATTCCCCAACAAAGTTTGGAGGTGAAGTTTTTCTAGTGAAGTCAAGAAATAGAGTTTCTCCAACGAAGTCCGAAAATAGAATGTCCCAACCAAGCTAGAAAAAATGAAGTGATGATGGTGCTCTCAGGATAACAAAAATGATTACACAACTACCAAAAATAATGAAAATAAAATGTGCAATGTTGTAGGAGCAGCAAGGATAGAAAATATGTTAAGGTTAAAAATTACAACTTGAGAAGCACATTTTTACATAGTGTATTGTAGCACAATAGCAAAGACAATGAATGTGCCTTCTATTATCCTGGACAAATACTTCTACTCTATAATAAGTAACCTTCACATTGTAGATAAAAGGCACAATGGTCTCCCTCAAGCTTTAACAAAACAAAAAGGAATAAACTTGAAAGTAATGATAGGAGAAGGAAGGATGACCGTTGTGGGGGGTTTGTGAATGAAGGGCTTGATCTTGTTTTTTAGCTAACTTTTCAGCTTGAACCTTTGATGCTCATGAAAATAACCCAAAAATTAAATCTGCAGTATGTTATCTCCTAGCCATGATGTTCTGCAAGTTTGGAAATTGTTCAGCAGTGCTGAAAGTGCAGAAAATATGAAGAAAATGGTGATTACTAGGTAATTCCAATGTGTAGAGTGAGTGGGTCAGGATGAAGTATTTTTCAGAGGAAGAAGGGAGGTTTGGTACGTGAGAGGGAAGCTGGAGTTGTGAAAATTTTGGTTTATTCTTGCTGAAAAATGAAGGAAAGATAATATATATATATATATATATATGGCCAATGGCATTTTTGTAATTTCTAGGTTGATGGGTCAAAGGTGCATAGTGGCCTAATGGGTAGATTTGGGTGAGCTGTCGAGTTTTGAGTGGTTCTGGGTATGGCTGATAGCTTTTTGGCAGTGATATTATAAATTACCCAATGGTTCTAGCGAAGCACCATCAGTTCTAGCGAAACACTACTGGGTTCAGCGAAGTATTGCTAATTTGCTGAAGGCTATCCATTTTTTATAACTCTCAAGCCATATGAAATTCCATTTTTGGGGGATAATTGAGTGCAGCCGGCAAAATCAAATCTGGCCAAGATTTTGGTATATGTCTAGGGGCTACTTAGGATTTTGGAAGATTCCCAAGGTCTACCCAAGATTTTGGTAGATTTTCCCAGTGAAATCAGATCTTTTTGATAGTTCCCAAGGCTAGGAAACTTGTGCAGCCACCCTTTTTAGCACTCTACAACCACCTTTGCATTAAATATGGCTGCAAGTTGTTAAATATGCCTGCTAGTTGTTACTGGTGACCAAAATATTGTCTTTGGTTGGTTTTGAACGAGATTCCAACCTTCTAGTTAGCATCAGACAGTATAGTTTTAGGGATCAAGTCTGCCTCCATGTCTTCCCCACCCAGCCCTTTCTTGCGAAGTCAGGCAACATCGCCAGCGCCAAACATTGCTAGCGCGAATACCTCATTTCACCAAACAGGCAACGCTCACCCATCCATGCCTACCAAGCCATTACTCCATAATTTATCCCGAATAATTCCCATGAGCTTAGATTCATGGGTTTATTGATGACCTACATGTAGAAGCAGTAATTAGTTGATGAAGATGATAATATTTAATAAATAAGGAAATAATAAAGGATAGAGACTTCCTTATGTATTTCTAGATATTGCTAGGGCTTCCTTTGCATTTATGGTGATGCAACTATGTACTACAACATTAGATATCGTTAGGACTTCTTTTGCATTTTTAG